AAAAAGGCTCCTTTATATGGCAAAAGAAATTTTGCAGATGTGATTTTTTTTTCAGACGTGATTAAGATAAGAGTTTTGGGATGGGATGATTATCTGGGATGGATTAACCTAGATGAGCTCTAAGCATAATCACAAAATTGGGGACAGAGGGAGATTTGACTATAGAAGAGGAGAAGGCAATGTGATAAGGCAGATTATTCTGCTGCAAGGAATATGGACAGTCACAAGAAGCTGGAAAAGGCAAAGGAAATCTCCTCAGGAACCACTCTGCCCACACCTTGACTTTAGCCTCATAAGAATCACTTCAGACTCCTGGCTTCCAAAACTGCAAGAGAATAAATCTCTGTGTTTTTTTTTAAAGGTGTTGTTTTTTGTTGTTGTTGTTGTTTATTTATTCATGAGAGACACACACACAGAGAGGCAGAAACACAGGTAGAGGGAGAAGCAGGCTCCATGCAGGGAGCCTGACGTGGGACTCAATCTCGGGTCTCCAGGATCATGCCCTGGACCAAAGGCAGGCGCCAAACCGCTGAGCCACCCAGGGATCCCCAAATCTCCATTGTTTTAAGCCACTAAATTTTTTATGGTAGCAATAGGAAATATCTAATGCAAAAAAGGGTAAACTTCTTATTTGCCTGCAACAGGAAGCATATCTATAAGACATAATCTCCACGAACAATGATGGGGCTAGTGCTTTGGGTTTTTTTTTTTTTTTTGAAGATTTTATGTATTTGTTTGAAAGAGACAGTGCATGAGCTGGGAGGTGGGGGGCAGAGGGAGAGGGACAAGCCAACTCTGCGCTGAGTGGGGAGCCTGACACAGGGCTCAATCCCATGCCGAGATCATGACCTGAGCTGAAGTCAGATGCTCAACTGACTGAGCCACCCAGGTGCCCCATGATGGAGCTAGTCTTATATAGGATATTAGGAAGTTTGGTATTTAGTGCGTACTGGACTTTCAGAAATGGGAGTGTTTAGAGTCGGACAGAATTTTGTCTCTGTTATCACAGGCACTGGAGTACCTCTGGTGTCCAGAAGCTTCCTGTCAGAAACATGGCCCCTGGAATGAGGCACTTGGCTGATTGGTTGTTGGTTAGGAGCCTGGGACTGTCCCTGGTTGGCTGTCTTCCTGGACTAGGATTTATAACTGATTGATTTTCAGATGTTTAGTAATGATACTGATTGTCTAGCTTTCAGAAGTGTAGTACCGGAACAAGGCTGACTCCAATGGACTGATTTTCTGAGCCATATATATTGATGCACAGTTATCTCAAATGAGCTGTGAGTAGTTGTTGAAAGGATAGTCTTGGGATCCCTGGGTGGTGCAGCGGTTTAGCGCCTGCCTTTGGCCCAGGGTGCAATCCTGGAGACCCGGGATCGAATCCCACGTCGGGCTCCCGGTGCATGGAGCCTGCTTCTCCCTCTGCCTATGTCTCTGCCTCTCTCACTCTCTCTCTCTGTGACTATCATAAATAAATAAAAATTTTAAAAAAACTTAAAAATATAGTCTTGTCCTTTGTTTTTTATTTTTATTTTTTTAAAGATTTTATTTATTTATTCATGAGAGGCACACAGAGAGAGAGGCAGAGACACAGGCAGAGGGAGAAACAGGCTCCATGCAGGAAGCCCAACTTGGGACTTGATCCCTGGTCTCCGGGATCACCCTGGACCAAAGGTGGCGCTAAACCGCTGAGCCACCCGGGCTGCCCATTTTCCTTTGTTTTTTAAAGAAAGATTTTTTTATTGGGATGCCTGCGTGGCTCAGTGGTTGAGCGCCTGCCTTCAGCCCAGGGCGTGATCCTGGAGTCCCGGGATCGAGTCTCACATTGGGCTTCCTGCAGGAAGCCTGCTTCTCTCTTTGCCTATGTCTCTGCCTCTCTCTTTCTCTGCATCTCTCATGAACAAAATCTTTCAAAAAAAAAAAAAGATTTTATTTTTTATTTTTATTTTTTTTCAAAAAAAAAGATTTTTTTTTTATTTTTTTATTTTATGATAGTCACAGAGAGAGAGAGAGGCAGAGACACAGGCAGAGGGAGAAGCAGGCTCCATGCACCGGGCGCCCGATATGGGATTCGATCCCGGGTCTCCAGGATCGCGCCCTGGGCCAAAGACAGGCGCCAAACCGCTGCGCCACCCAGGGGTCCCAAAAAAAAAAGATTTTATAAGAGAGAGAGCACATGTGAGAGAGTATGAAAGGTGGGAGGGGCAGAGAGAGGGAAAAGCAGACTTCCCGCTGAGCGGGGATCCAGACATGGGACTCCATCCCAGTACCCATGCGATCATGACCTGAGCCAGACAGACACTTAACTGACTGAGCCACTCAGGTGCCCCAGTCTTTTTCTTTCTTGAATTTGAAAAATAAGAATTTCCAGGGATTGAACCCCATGTGGAGCTCCATGCTCAGTGAGGAGTCTGCTTCTCCCTCTCCCGCCTCCCCACCTCTTGTGTGCTTGCTCACTCTCTCTCTCTCAAATAAATAAAACCTTTTTAAAAAAAGAACTTTATTTTTTTCAAAGATTTTATTTATTTATTCATGAAAGACACAGAGAGAGGGAGAAAGAGGCAGAGACCTAGGCAGAGGGAAAAGCAGGCTCTCTGCAGGGAGTCTGATGCGGGACATGCTCCCAACATCCTGGGATCACGACCTGAGCCAAAGGCAGATGCTCAACTGCTGAGCCACCCAGATGCCCTTTTAAAAAAGAATTTTAAATTCTAAATGCTGGGATCCCTGGGTGGCGCAGCGGTTTGGCGCCTGCCTTTGGCCCAGGGCGCGATCCTGGAGACCCAGGATCGAATCCCACGTCGGGCGCCCGGTGCATGGAGCCTGCTTCTCCCTCTGCCTGTGTCTCTGCCTCTCTCTCTCTCTCTGGGACTATCATAAATAAATAAAAATTAAAAAAAAATAAATTCTAAATGCTATCTGTTGCTCTTCCCTTAACCTATCTTGCAGGACAAATCATAAGGAATTGTATCTAAGCTCTAAACCCAATGTGGGGCTTGAATTCACGATCTTGACATCAAGATTTACATGCTCTACTGACTGAGCCAGTCAGGTGCTCCAGGAATTGTCTTGATCTTTATTTGTAGAGATATGATTTTCAACTAGTGTCATTTAAATGAGTTTAGTGTCAATTACTGTGGTGAGAAAATAAACCTAACTGCTAAATTTTGGTATTTTATTGAAAAGCAAAATATAAAAACACTTTAGGCATCCTGACATTGTCAATGAAGAATGCAGAACAAAAATCACTGAAGGTAAGACATATATTAGAGAGAACTCCTGGCAACCCTACTCATGATGTGCCTCATCCAATTAAGATAGTGCCTAAAATCTAGTAGTTGCTCATTGAACATATATGTGAGAATGAGTTACCATGACAACATAGTTTTGCTATTGATTTTTACCATTCTGATCTTTCCTAAATACCCTTTTATCTCATTCCAATTGCTCCATGTTTCCAGGAAAAAAAAAAAAAACTGTAGACAAAGCTTTGATTGTGGTCAAGATTCCAATACAGCTATGCGCTCAACTTCATTTTTTTCATTTTTCATACTTATGTACTCAGAATTTTTTTCAGTGATAATCTCAACTCCCTGTACTGAAAACTACTTAAAGTAACATGTGAGGGGCACCTGGGTGGCTCAGTTGGTTAAGTGTGTGTCTTTGGCTTGGGTCATGATTTCTGGGTCCTGGAATGGAGTCTGCTGCTCTTGCTCTCTCCCTCTCTACATTCTCTCTGTCAAATAAATAAGTCTTTAATAAAAATTAAAAATAAATAAAATAGGGATCCCTGGGTGGCGCAGTGGTTTGGCGCCTGCCTTTGGCCCAGGGCGCGATCTTGGAGACCCAGGATCGAATCCCACATCGGGCTCCCGGTGCATGGAGCCTGCTTCTCCCTCTGCCTATGTCTCTGCGCCTCTCTCTCTCTCTCCCTCTGTGACTATCATAAATAAATAAAAATTTAAAAATAAAAAATAAATAAAATAACACGTGAAATGATACATTCAACAATGACAGACACTGTCCAGGGAGGAAGTGACATTCAAATGGTTGTGCTCTTTCAGACAGATCTCAGATCTTAAAAGCAATTCTATGTATCTTAGGATATGGAGTAAGAAATATTATCTGGGAAAAAAAAGAAATATTATCTGGAATAAACAGTGTCCCTCGCTGGGTTGATACAATCACTGATTATACAACCAGGAGTAAAGTTTTCTGAGTTAATTTGTCCACTAACTTCATGGATGTTAAACATCCCTTTTTTTTTCTTCCACTCCATGGCCCTGTCTGGAGTCTCTTCCCTCTTGTCCCTAACCAGAACTGAAGTTTGCAAAACTGATTCTAAAGCTTCATTCTATACGTTTATTTAAAAAGCAGCAAAGTGGGATCTCTGGGTGGCGCAGCGGTTTGGCGCCTGCCTTTGGCCCAGGGCGCGATCCTGGAGACCCGGGATCGAATCCCACGTCGGGCTCCCGGTGCATGGAGCCTGCTTCTCCCTCTGCCTGTGTCTCTGCCTCTCTCTCTCTCTCTCTCTCTCTCTCTCTGTGACTATCAGAAATAAATTAAAAAAAATTAAAAAAAAATAAAAAGCAGCAAAGTAATTGTTATTAGCTCCAAGATATGAGTGGGCGGAGAGAGACTTTGTGGTGGTGTGTGTCCATTTGTTTTTGCAGCTTTGGTGAATATACGAAGTAATATGTCTACAAACATTTCTGTGATGGTACAGAGTACACTTCGCAGAATCTGGATGCCGCCGGTGACGAGGAGAGAAGTCACACCACATGCTTGAGGGGTAGGGATACCATTGACCACGCCCTTCGCGGTGGTCCCTTACTTTTCCCAGGAACATCAGCCCAGAGCCACTTTCCTGGATCTATGGTTCCTAGAGAACTACATTACCCAAAAGCCTAAGCGCCGCAGTCCAATGAAAGCCCGGGAGAGGGGCGTTTCCGTGAGTGCGACAAGCTGTTGGGCGGTACTTCCGGCGTCCTCTTCGCAATGAACCTGTCGCTTTTTGCTAGGATCTACCCAATCCTAGGCTTTTGAATGCTTGGTTAGGCCGGAGGTGAAGGAGTTGTCCCCGTTTCACAGAGACTAGTCGGAGGCTCGGCGCTGGCGACGCCCGCCGTGGCCCCGCCGTGGGGCTAGACTTGGGACTGCGGTGTTTGAGTTCCCGACCTAGACCCGGGACGCTCCGGGCCTCGCTCCGCCCCCGAGTCTGATGGCGGCGGCGGCCGCGCCCAGGGTCCCGACGCAGGTAAACCCTCGTCCCCCAGGCCCTCGCCGTCCTTCCCACCCCCACCTCCAAGACCCTCAAGGCCTGAGCACCGGGCGCTTGTTCGCGTCCTGTGGCCCAGGCTCGGATGTCCGGGACCGGGAGGCGCCGGTGGCCGGGGGCCCCGTGTGTTTGCGCCGGCGCGCGGGCGTGCGGGAGCGGACTGCAGGCGAGGGGCGGGCTGGGGCAGAGGCGGGCGGACTCTCTTCTGTTCAGAGAGCGTGAGGCGGCGGCTCCCCTTTCAGGAGAAGTTATACTGTCATTGTGGGGACTCTGGGAGCCATAGGGGTTTTGAATAGAAGGTCTTGATGTGAATGATGACTAACAAAGTAGCTGCGTTTTTGCCGGAGCAAAACAGATCAGGTTTGGACGTGGAATATGAATGTGGATTCTTAGAGACCGGTAGGTAGGCTAATGCAGTGGACTCCCAGGAATGTTTTGATGCTGGGTGAACCAGAGTAGTGCCAGAAGAGAGAAGAATCTGTTCTTAGTCAGATTCTGGAGTTCTTTAAAAAGATTTTATTTATTTATTCATGAGATACCCCGAGAGGCAGAGACATGGGCAGAGGGAGAAGCAGGCTCCCTATGGGGAGCCTGCTGTGAGACTCAACCCAGGACCCCGGGATCACAACCTGAGCTGAAGGCAGAAGCTCAACCACTGAGCCACGCAGGGGTCCCCTGGATAGATTTTAAAGATAAAAGCAAGAGTAGTTACAGCTGCATCATATGTGGCTGTGATTGAGCTTAAGGAGTGAAAACCCAGGTTTTTAATTTTTGCTATTCTCGTGTTTTTCATGAACGTCTTGAAAATGAAAATCGGGAAGTCAAAGTAGGAAGATTTCAGAGGGATCAGAAGTCGAATTTTGGACGTGTTTGATTCTGCGATGTCTCAGGGTAGAGGTGTCAAATGGGTATCTGGGATGGAAGGTCTAGGGTTCTAGGAGAATTGGCTGGATTAGATTCCTCCAGGGTGAGAATAGCCATCTGGGCTAGGTCAAGGCCTGATCAGATTTAGGTTAGCTGTCATAGGTATGTTATTTTATTGTATTTAAAGATTTTTTAAGTAATCTCTACACCCAACATAGGGCTCCATCTTAGAACCCTGAAATCAAGAGTCCTGTGCTCCACTGATTGAGCCAGCCAGGTGCCCCTTAAGTATGTTATTTTAAATGGTCCCTGGTGTGAAAGGGGAGGACTGTTGCTCACTGGCAGGGGTAGTAGGGGAAAAAGTGTAGGCATTCTTGACATTTCCCTCCAGAAAGGAGACTTGACATTTGAAAGGGTTCTGCTCAGTGTCTGCATGAAGAAAATGTAGGGCATGAGGATCTGGCCTGGGATAGTGACCCACCAAGGCTGGGGTGCTGTAAAATCGCTACTGATGGATGACCTCACCTTCACTTTTGAACAGCCTGTCCTAAGAGAAGCACACATTGAAAAACTCTTCCAGTGCTAGGAGTGATTCCACTTCACTCAATGTTGCCAAAGACTTAAAATACCACAAATACCATATGATAGATTATTCCAGCCTTCATAGGTTTTTGACTAAAATTTTCCATGGACAAACTCACTGGGAGCATCTTGCCTTGCAAGAAGTTCCTACCAAAGCAATCCTCTAATATAAGTTGTTCCAACACAGGAGATGTTTCTGCTCACATGCCCTATACATGACTTTTTTGAGTGTAGTGGAGGCAGAACTCTACCTGTAACCATCTTAGCTTGGACTTTTTTTTTTTTTTAATTGAAGTAGAATTGACACACAAAATTACTTTAGTTTCAGTGTACAAGACAAGTTTATACATTATTGGCTTGGATTCTTTAACCAAGAAACAGTTTTTTTTTTTTTTTTAAGATTTTATTTATTTATTCATGAGAGACACACAGAGAGGCAGAGACACAGGCAGAGGGAGAAGCAGGCTCAATCCCGGGTCCCCAGGATCACACCCTCAGCTGAAGGCGGCGCTACACTGCTGAGCCACCCCGGCTACCCAAGAAACAGATTAAAGAGAGAAAAATAGTTGATGTGTGCAACAAAGATGGGAGAAACCTAAATCAAAAGTAACTGAAAATGGTTCAGAATTCCAGTTTATATGGCATTTTCAATAAAGAACAATAAGTTTGTAGGGAAATGGCAGGAAGAAAATTAGTATTAGACTTCCAAGGGCACCAGACTGTAGTAAGGTAAACACATGGGAGGAAACTAGTTTGCAGGTTCTTTTGGTGCCAGGCTCTGGGCTGGTAAGGATCTGTCTCCAATTAATGGAGAATTTATATCCTACTTTTAGGGAGAAAAAGATTTTTATGATTGCTGTTTTTTAATTGCCTTTAGCTCAAAATAATTTTTTATGTCAAAGTTACATATTTTGAGATAATATATTCTGGTTTCCTTCTTGAACTACAAAAGAGCCAGGGAAAAAAAATTTGAATTACCCAAATTCCTAGATTATTCTAACTTTGTAATGTCTATCTAATTGATTTCATGAGAGAATTTAGCATTAATATCTTGAAGAATCCATTGTAGGTAATGAGTTGATTTTTTTCTTCCCTACATTTAGATTGGTCCCTTCCATGGGGTTTTTAAGACAATATTCACTGAAATTATTTTATGTAGGAACCAGTTCTCTTATGGAACCCTATTTGAGAAAGTCTGCTTAAGATTATGACCACACCAACTCCAGCTTATAGGGGTAGGTTTACTCACACCAAGTCTCAATTCTCTGATACCACCTGGTATCCTACAGTTCAATTCAAATCTGACACTATTCACCAGGAAATAGCATCAGATCTCACAGGTTAAGGGTTTAGTCTTCTGGGGACACCTGGGTGGCTCAGTGGTTTAGGGTCTGCCTTTGGCTCAGGTAGTAATCCTTGAGTCCTGGGATGGAGTCCCACATCGGATTCCCCACAGGGAGCCTGTTTGTGTCTCTGTCTATCTCTATCTCTCATGAATAAATAAATACTTAAAAAGAAATAAAAGGGGTTTAGTCCTATAAGATTGTCTATCCATACCCCTTCAGACACCAGTCACACAAGCATGTCGTCGCTTGTGTTTCTAACCAACTGGCTATAGATTGGAGATTCCAACGACCCCCTCCTTTGGTTTGATTAATTTATTACAATGGCTCGCAGAACTCAGGGAAACATTTTACTTAATAGATTAATGTATAATCCAAAAACAGCCCTGTGGAAGAAATGCATAGGGCAAGGGCGCAGAGGTTCCATGCCCTCTCCTGATGAACTGCTCTTCCTGAATCTCCACTAGTTCACCAAACCTGGAAGCTCTCTGAATCCTGTCCTTTTGGGTTTTGTGGAGTCTCATTAAATGGGCATGATTGATTGAACTCAGTCTCCAGTCAGTCAGCTCTCTCCAGAGGCCAGGATATAGGAGTAAAAGTTCCAACCCTCTAATCACATGGTTGGTTTTCCTGGCAACCAACCCCCACCCTTAGATGCCTTCAAAAAGTCACCTCATTAACAAAAGAAAAGACATCTTTTCTCTCATCACTTAGGAAATATCAATGGTTTTAGGAGCTCTGTGCAGGGCACAGGAATAAAGATCAAATATATATTCCTTGTGAATCACAGTATCACTTTGACCTAGTAAATAATATACCTATGTTCATAGAAAATTCAGAGAACTTATGATCTGCATTGTGACTTTATTTATGCCTTAATGAATTTAAGTGTTTAAATGTTGTGATGTAAAACGAAGAAGATTATGTATCTTGTGAATGTTACATTCTTTTTTTGATATTAAAAAGCAGACACTCAACCACTGAGTCACTCAAGCATCCCCGATTCTATATTCTTAATATCGTCTCTATGCTTATTTTTTTTTTATTTATGATAGTCACAGAGAGAGAGAGAGAGGCGCAGAGACATAGGCAGAGGGAGAAGCAGGCTCCATGCACCGGGAGCCCGATGTGGGACTCGATCTTGGGTCTCCAGGATTGCGCCCTGGGCAAAAGGCAGGCGCCAAACCGCTGCGCCACCCAAGGATCCCTCTATGCTTATTTTTCGATTTATCACTTTATGAGAGGATAGGCGAGAGTAATTTATACATTTGTACCGACAATTCTTTTCAGTTTTTTATATTTAAATTTATATTCAGTTTTAATATTTTATATATTTAAATTATAAGGAGGGATTACCAGACTATATAAAATGCATGGGCAAACTCCATACAGTCTGTGATAAATGATCCTTCATTACAAAAATAGCGATAAGCTAAAAAGAATGGAATGAAGTAAGACACAAATACTAATAAAAGGGTTGGAGTAGTTATATTAATATAAGAAATGGTCATATTACATTTACATTTCTGAGAAAGTAATGTGGCCAAAGATAACATAGGAGCATTTAAAATATTAGATAAGTAATTTAATCAAGAAAATGTAAGAATGCTAAATGTATTTGTACATAAGAATAAGCCTTCAATGGGATCCCTGGGTGGCGCAGCAGTTTGGCGCCTGCCTTTGGCCCAGGGCGCGATCCTGGAGACCCGGGATCGAATCCCATATCGGGCTCCCGGTGCATGGAGCCTGCTTCTCCCTCTGCCTGTGTCTCTGCCTCTCTCTCTCTCTCTGTGACTATCATAAAAAAAAATAAAAATAAAAATAAAAAAAAAAGAATAAGCCTTCAAAAATTCTTTTTAAATATTGTTATTTTTTAATTTTATTTTTTCCCTAAAGACTCATTTATTTATTTGAGAGAAAGGAGAAAGAGAAAGTGCACCCAAGTAGGAGTGGCAGAGGGAGAGGGAGAGAGAATCTCAAGCAGACTCTGTACTGAACACAGAGCCTGATGTAGGGCCCTAGCCCCTGACCCCAAGATCATGACCTGAGTGGAAACCAAGCGTCAGAAACTTAGCTGACTGTGCCACCCAGAAACTCCTTAATTTTATTATTTTTTAAAGTAATCTCCACACCCAATATGGGGCTTGAACTCACAATCCCGAGATCAAACATTGCATGTTCTATCACCTG